GATGGGACAAGCAAAGTATTTTGAAGAGTAAGGGATGGAGAGAGGCCAATGGTTCCAGCACCGACCACGGGAGAGGTAACACCATTTGCGTTGGCAATACTTGTTCGTTGTGGTGTAGTTGTACTTAGAAAATCAGTTGGATCGAACGTCATATGATCTGTGGCTCCTGAATCAATAATCCAACATGTGGAGTCACTTGTATATGATGTATGAAATACATATCCACAGTTACCTGAGTCACTAAAAGATGAAGAGTTCTTAGTTGGGCGAGAGGGTCGGTATGTTCCTTTTGTTGCCAATCCTACTCCGGTTGGTGTTGGAGCTCCTAACATCACAGCTTGTCGAATATCTTCTCGTCGAACATGAGCATAGGCTTGCTCTACTGTAGGGAATGGACTCATTTGGAGCACATCACTTCGGGCTTTGTCAAGTCGATCATCCAAACCATCCAAGAAAATATAAACTCGATCTTCTTGGATGATATCATAGTATTTCTTGATATCCAGCTCACACTTCATCTCATTTGGACGACGAAAATTGATTTCTCTCCATAAGCCTTGGAGATCATTGTAGTAAGTTTCAATCGAGCCTCCCCCTTGTCGCATACGGGAGATTCGCATTTTAAGATCATACACCTGGGAGGTGTCAGTGCCATCAAAGTAAGTTGTGGCTATTGCATCCCATACTCCTTTGGCCGTCGGGAATCTAATGAAGTTGCCAATCAACCTTGGCTCCATGGAGTTGATTAGCCACCCTTTCACAATTGCATTTTCTGTCCGCCATCGGTTGAATGTAGAGGGTGTCTGAGAAGGTGCTGGGAGTTCACCAATGAGATATCCCAGCTTGTCTTTGCCAGCAACATACATCTCAATAACTTGAGACCATAAGGCATAGTTGGAGCCATCCAATTTAATGCCAATTTGTGCAGAGGAGGTTTCGTAGGTAATTGTCGGAGTCGGAGTCGTAGTCGATGTTGATGCTTGTGTTTTCATCAACTCAGCCATTTGAGTAGCAAATTCTGTGAAGGTAGGTTGAGAAGGAGTAGCCGGATCGGTGGTGCTACTTTCAATGGGAAAGAAATCGTTTTCTCCCATGATTGCAGCAACGATTCGAGACTAGAGTCAGCAAGATCGCTGCTCTGATACCATGTCAAATTAGGAAGATATATTGAAGGTTGAGTAGAGAGAATGGAGAGGGTAGAGAATTTGGAAGCTATGCATATTTTCTGATTTCCACTTGTGTTTTATTACTTACAATCAACACATATATATACAAGTTCCTAAGACATTAGTCAAGCCCCCCAAGTTAGGCAACCAACCAAGTTAGGCAACCAAACTAATCCTCATTAATTGACTATTGCTAACATGGTATCAGTGGATATGTATTTCATAATGAGGATTATTCCCTTAACAAATTAAAACTAAAATAATAACAATTTATGTTATACCTGTTTCTGTCCTATTAAAGACAGAGGCCAAAAATTGTGAGGATCCACATCATCTCCTTATCATTGTTATTAATTTGTTTAATTGATTATGGATCCAAATCATTGTCACACGTTTTTTGGACAGAGAAAATCCAAATCACAATTCCAATTAAGTTGAAAATGTACAATTTTTCGGTCCAATTCTCCGAAACAGAGCGAACTGAAGACTAATTTGGTGCTTCTTATAAGCTCTAACAACCATCCAAAAAGTCCTTCAAAGCTGGAGCAAATAGAGGGCATAAAAAGGGCACCAAGCAATAAGAGAAAACAGGGCAAAGATCCTTTTTATGCTCTCTCTAAAATGTCCATCTTGCTCAAATCCCTCACTCTGCTCTCCCTCTTCTTCACCTACTGTCTCACACAACCTTCTCTGTTTGGAAACTCTAGGGTTACAAAAACCCCACTCATAGCTATCTACAATGGAGGTGATGATACAGAGTATAGAGGTGGGTGGGAATTGGTTTCAGAGAATGCAGGTGTATCAGCCATGCACATGACCATAATGCCTAACACTAACAAGGCCGTTATGTTTGATGCTGCTGGATTTGGTCCATCTGGGATCTCTTTGCCTCCTGGAGATTGCCGTCCGGTTTTCGACGAAAGGGACGGAAATGAAGATCATTATGAACTGGATTGCTGGGCTCATGCTGTAGAATTTGATATTGACACTGCAGATATTAGGCCACTTAAGGTATGCACAAACTAGCCTACCATAATTTTGTTTCAGAAAATTATATGCAGTGGATTTATTTTGGTATGACTTACTTTTTTCTTTGTTAGTTAAAATCAGATTTTGACAGATACATGGAGCTCATGTGGTGGATTATCAGCTAACGGTACCCTTGTCCAAACTGGTGGATGGGGTGATGGAGGGAGGTCTGTGAGATACCTCTCTGGATGCAAAGCTTGTGACTGGGAGGAGCACCCCATGTCACTTTCTGCCTCAAGATGGTATATAATACAACTCTGTTAATTACAATCTTTATACCCGCATAAACAACTGTGAACCGTTTGATTGATAAGTCCGATTATTTGACTGCTAATATTTTTATGATTTTTTTAAATAGGTTCTCCACACAACATATTTTGCCAAATGGCGATTTCATAGTGATCGGAGGTCGTCGCATGTTCAGTTACGAGTATGTCCCTAAGGTGGAAAGTTCCAATCAAATGTACTTCCTATTACCGTTTCTCCAAGAAACCACTGACCCGGTAGAGAACAATCTCTACCCATTTGTTTTTCTTTCCACGGATGGTAATATTTTCATCTTCGCTAATAACCGTTCGATCTTACTCAATCCAATCACCAATAAGATCATTCGCGAACTGCCTGTCCTTGATGGTGGGTCCCGAAACTACCCTTCATCGGGCATGGCGGCGTTGCTACCTATAAAGCTCAACGTCAACGACCCAAACTCGAATGTGATTCGAGCTGAAATCTTGATCTGTGGCGGAGCGGATCCTGGGGCGGGAAAATTAGTTGAGAAGGGTATATTTGTGACTGCACTGCAAGACTGTGGAAGGATTGATATAGCAAACCCGAAAGCCACGTGGCAGAAGGAGATGATGCCAACGCCAAGGACTATGGGAGATATGCTGATCCTTCCTACTGGTGACATCCTCATGATTAATGGGGCCAAAAAGGGCACATCCGGGTGGAACTTTGCCGAGGATCCGAACTCGACCCCGCTGCTTTATAAACCCGACAACCCGGAAACCCAACGGTTCATGGAGCTAAAGGCAACGACCATACCACGAATGTATGGTTCAACCTCCATGGTATTGCCAGATGGAAACATCTTAGTGGCTGGGAGCAATACAAATTACTATTACAATTTCACAGGAGTAAAATATCCAACTGAACTTCGGGTCGAGAAGTTTTACCCGCCATACTTTGACCCGTTACTCGTTTTTGCCCGCCCCATAATTGTATCCGATTACAAGGGTATAATGGTAAAATATCAAAGTAATTTTGTGATTGAGTTCAAATTGAAGAAATATAAGGTGAACCAATTAGATTTGAAGGTGACCATGTATGCACCCCCCTTCACAACACATGGTTTTTCAATGGGTCAAAGGCTTTTGGTATTGGGCATAAAGGGGTTGGAAAATGTGGGGTTGGGATTGTTCCAAGTTGAGGTTGTGGCGCCACCAACGGCCAAGATTGCGCCCCCAGGTTTCTATTTGGTCTTTGTTGTGCACAATGGAATTCCAAGTTCTGGGATATGGCTGCAAATTGCATAGAGGAATTTTATACAGTTTGAATTTTTTTTTTGGGTTTCTGTACATAATATTTTTTTTCTTCATTAGTGATCATATTGGAAATTTATATATACTCAATCCAGATTTTTCATATTTTTTATTTTCACTTTCGGTTTTCATATGCTAACTTACTAATTATGAAATTGGGGAATTATGGAATCATAATTGATTTATTATTTTTGTTAATACAAGCGATATTTGAAGAGTAGAGATTCGAACACAAAGGAATCAGAATTGAATCAACCACTCTCCTCATTGATCCAATCCATAATTTTGAGAGTATTCAATTACCGATTTAATCATAGAAATCACATAATTTTTAAATTTTTATGTGTAACAAAGTCACAAATCAATATAATTAAAATATCTGTCAACGGGGTCTAGTCCAATAGAAAAAAAACTTTGACTTGCAGACCAAAAATTTCAAGTTTGAATCCCTACAATGTCATAATTGTGTGTGAGAGAAATTCACGGACTAGAAAAAAGTATATTTCTAAGTACAAAATATTAAACAAAGACTGAGAACCACATTCAGACATTGTGGCCAGTCAACGATTCTAAATACCAAATGTTAAACAAATACTGAGAACCAATTCTTTGTCTTCCTAGCTTCTGTTTGATTAATTAATTAATATTTTTCTGTTCTTTGACCAGCAGAAGTTGTAGAACCGACTTTTTAATTTTTTAAGTTTTTACCTTTCGGTAAAAGCCTGGGAACCGACTTTTAATTTGTAGGACTTTGAAAAGCGATTTTACCGCCATCTTCGCTTTTCGGTGATCGTGAGCTTACAAATTGACAATTACAAAAGCCCCACCATCCAAAACTTTCATAAATTGAAGAATCACCCTTCCATTTTGAAAATTTTAATTCGCGCCCCACATTCCTAGATCGGAAATTACCATATTCGCCCAACTCTTTTTTATTTTCTGTTTTTAGATCCCTGTCTCCCTCATCTGTGGCCGCCATTCAAGTCCTCGTTTCTGCTTTCAACCTCTCCCTCCCTCCCTAAAATTCCCAAAACGCATCCGGCCAAATCGTTCTCTCTGCTATTCGATCGAAGCCTCACCCTAAAAACCCTAGATTTCTCTCTTCCATCCACGAATTCAATCAGTTCTAGAGAGAATAGGGTTTTTATGGAGAGGATCGTCGCAGAGAAGTACAAGTTAGGTCGCAAAATTGGGAGCGGCTCATTCGGCGAATTGTACCTCGGTCTGTGAATCATTCGATTAGCTCTTCTTCATTTCATTTATATTTGCCTTTATCTTTCATCTCCTCATCATGATCACGATTACCATTGATGCTGTTTTTTTAAAATTTGTTCTTATTATTTTTTTGGTGTTTCAGCAACTCATATTGAGACTGGAGAGAATTTGGCCGCGAAAATTGTAAGTCTCGATTCAATCCTCTTCATGTTTCAGATTTTATCAGTAGTTTGAGTTTTTGTTTCCGCAGAAAATAATTTTCAGAAAGAAATTGACCCTGCGTCCTTTGTGGATAAATGGCCTGGTTTTGAGCTCATCAAATTACAGTTCACTTGATTGTTAGTGGAATATTTAGGTGCATGCGGGCGAGTGCGTGTTAGGAGCTTATCTTAGATCTCGACAATAATAAGAAATTCATTTGTGTTAAATTCAATTGGATAATATTGTCAGAAGTTTTATCATGGCAATGAGCCTTGGGTTCAGAATGGACGTGGGTTTTTCATGGGAAAACATGTTCTCGTTTTCCATGTTCTCATTTTGGGCAGACGGATAGTATGATGTACAAATAATTGATTGTAATTTTTTCATTGCCAGGAAAATAACAAGACAAAACATCCGCAACTGTTGTATGAAGCCAAGCTTTATAAAACTCTACAGGGAGGAAGTAAGGATTGAATATCAGTAGTTTTGTTTTGAACTACGTGCTCTCATAAGTTATCACCTTGGATATTGTTTTCACTTATTGATGGCTTGAGTTTGTCACCCTTCAGGTGGTATTGCAGGCATAAAATGGGCTGGATTTGATAGGGACGATAATGTTCTCATCATTGACTTACTGGGACCGAGTCTCGAGGACCTCTTCGTGTACTGTGGGAGGAAGTTTTCACTGAAAACAGTCTTAATGTTGGCTGACCAGATGGTAAGGGGTTGATTTTGATGACTTGTTATTTTTGAAGCCTATATCAAGTTGTCGATGCTAGAAAGGGAATGATTTTGTTTCGTTTTTATGGATTGTTTTCATAAATTCTCTTTATATTCTTCCTTCAGTTGCAACTAAATGGGGACTCACCTTTTAAGACTTCACTTGAGATTTTTTCTGTATCTTCTTCTAGAGTATCTACTTGCTAAGTGCCAAATTGTTTGCATAGTGGTAACTTTGATTCTTTTGTTCATTCAATTCTAGATTACAAGAATAGAGTATGTGCATTCTAAAGGGTTTTTGCATAGAGACATCAAACCCGACAACTTCCTCATGGGTCTCGGCAGGAAAGCAAATCAGGTAATGTTAAAGCATTACTCTTCCACATCTAACTTGTAGGAACAATATAGAATTTAGAATTTTCTGTTGTTTGTCAATTTTTTTAATCACTGTTGGGTACTCATTCATTAGGTTTACATTATTGATTTTGGACTTGCAAAAAGATTTCGGGACCAAAATACAAACCGGCACATTCCGTACAGGTAAAGTTCGATAATCTGTTCCATGCTTAATATCTTGGGGGATTTATTTCTCTTGAATGGGCTTTTCCTGTTCTGGGCAATTTTTTTGCTTTTGAGGCTCAGCTGTTTACAGTGATATGCGTCATGTAAATACAACTTTAGCCACATAATCTGAGATTATGTAAAGAATTCCTTTTGTTGATATTTGACTGAAATTCAATTATAAGGTGGCAAGTTTCTTTGTTTACATAACGAGATACAATTCTATGAAAATGCATCTCTGAATTGTTTATTCACCAACAGTATAGCAGAATTTTTCTACTTCCTTTGTTTATTCAATACCCATGTTTGGCTAAATGTTTCTATTTTCCTTGATGAAATCATACAGAGAAAACAAAAGCTTAACAGGAACTGCACGTTATGCTAGTTGCAATACCCATTTGGGAATTGGTAAGTAGAGAGGAACTTAAGTCTGTTGTTCTATATGCTTGGCTGTCTGCTTCCTCATTATGTTGTTTCATTGTTTTAGATCAGAGTCGTCGGGATGATTTGGAGTCACTTGGCTATGTTCTTCTGTACTTCTTAAGAGGAAGGTATGTAGTAAAGTCGATACCACATTTCAGAAGAGAATTTCCACTGGAGTTCCAGTTAGAATTTTTGTCATTTTGATGACTTGTATGGTTTGCACAATGTTTTGACCAGATAACAAAGTACCATATTATTTCATGGCCTGACTGACTGATTGGTTTCTGCATTTAGCCTTCCTTGGCAGGGTCTTAAAGCTGCAACGAAGAAGCAAAAATATGATAAGATTTGTGAGAAGAAGCTATCAACTCCCATTGAGGTATGTGCCACTTTCCATTAGGTGATAGTTTTGCATCTTGTGAATTGGGGGGATCATAATGAACTGATTGTGAAATCTGTTTTCAAGGTCCTATGTAAGTCTCATCCTGTGGAGTTTGCATCCTACTTCCATTATTGCCACTCTTTAACATTTGATCAACGCCCGGATTATGCATTCTTGAAGCGCCTGTTTCGTGACTTATTCAGCCGTGAAGGTATGATATTTATTTCACACTTTTCACCATATTCTATATCCTACAAAATTAATTGGGTGTAAAAAATGCAACCCACATCATCTGGCAAGTTGATGCTTCGCACAAATGAGCTTTTCCGTCATGGAAGACTTTGATCATATATTTTGGTGTTTATAAATTATCTTCCTTGTTTTGCAGGGTATGATTTTGATTATGTATTTGACTGGACAATTCTAAAATACCATCAGGCACAACAGACAAGGGCCCAGGGTCAATCATCTGTTAGTATCTTCATGAATTTTCTTTTATTACCATCTCCTATTAATTGCTGCTAGAATTTCAAGCATGGGACCATGTTCTGTTTCTTTTATGTATTTAATTTTGCTTCAAGTCTGTTTTGTATTTAAGTACTGATATATTCAATTTTACATGTTTAATTTTTTTTTTTCCTTCTAACTTTATCTAGGGTGTTCAGCCAGCTGTAGTGACTAACGGTCGAGCAGCGGCTAGCAGTCGACCATTGCCTATGGATGCGATGAGACTTAAGGGTAAGGTCCAGAATTCCAGTTTGCTCTTGATTTCCAGGGTAGTTAGTGAACCAAATCTTGATGAGATTGGCCTTAAATAAGGGTATTTGAGAAAGCATTTGGCATCTCAGAGCCTTGCTTGCATTACTAGAGAAGTCTGATTATATAAAATGTTGGTTTACTGAATATTCTCAGTTCTTACGTTTTATTTATGGATTTCAGGAGTTAATGATGCTTCTGGATCAGCTGAGGTCGCAGACCATAGACGGTCGAGTAATCTTGCTCATCCGGATGTTCGTATGCAATTTAGATCGTCAACAGCCCAGAATTTGGGTGCTAATAATCTGGTTGAAAAACATGTATGTAACCTGAAATGTAAATCATATCATGGTTTGTTTGCGTATTTATCAAGTATCTACTCTTGTTTGCCTGGAAGATGTTCTCATCTGTTGCACGTTATGTTGTAATCCTGTGTTGTGAATACTGTACTGGGCAATTGTAGATCGTGACTTTTTTTGGTAATTGGTACAGAATGTGAGCAATGTGCCGATGCCATCTTCGACATATGCTCTTAGAAAAAATTATCAAAAACCAGAGGGGCCGGCTGAAAATGCAAACTTAGGTCGTGGAGTTGGGAACCAAAATGGTGCTTCGAGCAGTTGGATGCCATCACTAAACCAGGTTTCTTCCTCAAAGTAGTAGGTATGCAGTTTTCTATTGCATAAAACTATATTTTATGTGCTTAAGTTTTGTATCATATGGAATATAATTGCTCAAAACCTGCATGGTTGTTTACAAGATATTCAGCCTTGGTTTGTTTTTCAGCTACAGATGATCTGAAGGAGATTACTCAAAGCATGCATCTTGCTGTAGCAAATGTCATGAAGTTTGGATTGCTCTCGTTCTTCCATGTCTGATATCATAACGTGTGAGAAAAATGTGACTGGAAGAGCATGAACACACTGGATGCACTTGGAGCTCACCTCCGAAGCTTGGACTTTTCGCATGCATAGGTGGCAAAAATGACTAAGCCCATATCATGTTGTGTGAATGATGTGTGAAGTGTAGCTTCCATTATTCTGATAATAGATGATAATTTTTTTTCTTCGGTGCTATTTGGTTGTTTTGACCATGTATTTCATTCAATTCAGGATTGAGTTGCTTTCTGTTCTTATTGCTGTATCTTTTTCGGATCAAAGCCCTGGATGTTCACCCAGGCTCTTCAGAATCTGGAAAAAGAGTAAAACTAGTATTTCAGGTATCAACTATATTGATCTCTTCTCAAGGCGTTTCTATGTGGAAAAATGTTAAACTTATGGACTTCTTTTGCTTGATTTCTACACAAGTGCTCATTGATGCTATTTTTCTTTGCTTCAGATCTTGATATGAGATGTTATAGAGGATGAATGGGACAACTTCATTGGCTGTCTCGATGTCGATTTGAAGAGGGTATTAGAGATCCTTCTATCTATTAGTTGTTAAATTCTTTCGAGTTTTGTATTTAAAAGCTTTAATAATCCATGATTTGAAGCAGGGTTGGAGTCACTTGATTATGATTTTTGTACTTCTAATTACCGAACCCTATCCCTCAGATTCCTGCCAATCTCTTTCCTGCGTCTCTCACCTCCTCCTTTGCTTGTTGTTCTACACTTGTATTTTATTAATAGCTAATTTTTTACTTGTATAGGTTGGAAATTGCAACTATCAATCAACCTCGTAAAGCAGAGAGTTTAGGGGGTGATTTAAATTAAGCTAAGTTATGCAAATCACAAAATTTACGATAAAAATAAATAATCGGTTGGGACCTCAGAAATTGTTGGTGCTCTCTCTCTCTCTCTCTCAATTAAAACCCATGATTTAGGCTCCAAGCAATGATGAAAGTTGTACCATACCCTCAGCTGGGTGCGTGGGTCTTCAAACAATTAAGTTATATCACCACTAACCATGCCGCTGTCTAGAATGAGATTATATTCTAGGGGCTGTTGGTGGGCCCAGGGTGCTTGCCTCAAAGTTTGTCCTTTCTTTTTTTCTTTTCAAAATTTTATTCTGAGCTACAGTAAAAGTTACAAGTGAAAGAAAGTGAAAAGAGATCAGCTTTAGACAGAAGTTACTTTAAACCTCGATGCGGGACACATTTGCAGAATTTCTCTCGTCAATCTAAATAAGAAACTGAGGACGAAGCTAATCAATGGAAGCATCATTTACTTTCTTTAACCTAGGGTAAATGATCCTAGGGTTATGATCCAGAACCAGAAGGCAATGTGGTGTGCCGCTGGGTGCAAAAGGGCCCCTCAGAATAATTTTGCTTTATTAAATTAAGCTTTGATAATGGTGGTGACAAAAGGAACCTTAGCCTGGTAATCATGAACAGGCCGCTGAAAAAATGGGGTCTTTACCTATAAATGCATAAAGCACACACAAGTGAGTGTGAGGAGGAAAATAAAAGGCAACAATTTTATGAAGATGGGGACAAAATTTAAAATTAAATATAAATTTAAAAAAAAAAACCATGCAACTCACTTTTGCAACCTTGTTAAATAGGCACTGTATTGTACCCCTCCCCTTCAATCTTCATCATCTCATTCTTCCTTTTCGCTATTGGGCTTCAAAAAAAGTAAGCAAAAACCCAAAAAAAGAAGAAAACTAGACTGGTTTTTTTGGCTTGGCTCTTAACTCTAACTCTCTGAGTGTGTATGTGTGTGTTTTTTTCATGGTGTTTTAGTGAGCTCTTGCGGTTTGAAATGCTCAACAACACAGGGGATGCATGGGGGGCTAGAAGACATAGACGAAAATGGTGGCATGAGTTGGGCAGGCGAGGCTTGTGCCCCGCCACCGGAAACTCCAACGGAGTCCATGGAGTTTCTGGCCAGATCATGGAGCCTCTCTGCCATGGAGCTCTCCAAAGCTCTTTCCCACACTCATGTTAATGTTGCTTCCAAAAATCTTGACAACAACAAGTCTGCCTTCACTTCTACTGATGGTGTTGGTTCGCATAATACAGTTTCCATGCGTTTAGGAGAGCCTGTAAGTTAATTTAGTTTCCTACTTAACAAGTTAACAAAGTTATTATAATTTATTTATATGTCCAATAAGTGTTTTATGTCTGACTATAAGAAAATCTTTATTTTATTTTATGGTATTTTTGGGTTTTCTTTAATGGGGTTATATGTTTGTGTGTTTGCTATGATCCAATACGGCTACTTCAGCCAAGTGGGGGTAGCCCTCCAATTTCACCAAGAGACAGTGAAGAAATGAAGGTACTCTCTCTCTCTCTCTCTCTCCTATTTGTTTTGTTGGTCAAAATTCTAAAGTTTCTAATCTAAGTAAAAATGTTTTACCACCCTTTGGTTGAAATTCACTTTTTTTCTTTCTTTTCAATTTACTGAAAAAACCCATTACAATGATCCCTGCTCTCGTACGGAGTCACCACTTTGGTCAACACTTTACCCCTTACGGGCCGACCCGGTGTGAGTGGGGATTAGTCTGGATTGTGGTTAAGGCTTAAAGGTGCCACCCATAGTTGGGGCCCATCCAGGACCACGGTTTAGACCAAAAAAGAAAAAAAACCCATTACAATTTCTGCTTGGGTGGTCTATGATTTTATGATATTTAATTTTGAGAGTGTAGGATCACCATGATGTTTTATGTGCACGAGCGCATGATTTTAAAGTAAGTCTATAATTGATTACCAACTTTTTTGTCATTTATACTTGATTTAGAAAAGACAACTTTTCCCAATAAAATATACACTGAAGCAGAATAAAAACAATCAACTGGATATTGATTTAGTGGTATTTTTCTTCGATAATGTTGAGAGAGGTTCCAACTTCGAATCTTCTCCCTCAACACAAGTAGAGACATGAACTTTTTACAGCTGGTTAATATATGCAGGAGTTATTTTTACTGCATCAAGCACTCCACCCAGAGTTCCTTTCCACTCAACAGCAATTGCTCAATAATGGGGTAATTCAATTCACTTTTCACCAATCAACCTCATCATTGTGATTTCCCAATTCCTCATTGTTGTTTCTCTGCAGCTATACAAGAGCATTTTGCGAGGGAAAACAATGGGAAGGTGGTTGAAAGATCAAAAGGAGAGGAAGAAGCAGGAACTCAGAACCCAAAATGCTCAGTTGCATGCAGCTGTTTCTGTGGCTGGGGTTGCTGCTGCTGTAGCAGCAGTTGCAGCTTCAACTGCATTGCCTGAAACTTCAGCTGCCCACCAGAAAGGGCCACTAATATCAGAGCTGAGGACCGAAACATCAGCTGCACTAGCATCTGCGGCTGCTCTTGTAGCGTCGCGTTGCATTGAGATTGCGGAGGAAATGGGAGCTGATCATGACCACATTCTATCAGTTGTCAACTCTGCAGTAAATGCAAGGACGAATGGAGATATCATGACCTTAACTGCTGGAGCAGCTACAGGTACCACTAAGCCTCTACAAAGCTATACTAAATTCCATCATTTTAGAACAAAAATCCTTGGCTCAACAATTTCCCCCAAAATTTCAAACCAAACAAACTCAACACTCAAACCACAATAAAGCTAATCACAAACTAGTTTAAAACATATTGACACCACAAGTTTTGGTTCAACTTTATTATGATCCATGAGTTACAGCTTTACGAGGAGCTGCTACACTAAAGGTAAGGCTGCAAAAGGAGTACGGAGGCACGAACTTGGTTCTGGCTGACGAAAAACTTGAAGGAAAAGAATCAAATTCAGCACTGAACTTTGTCACTAGAGGAGGTGAACTCCTCAAACGTACAAGGAAAGGTAAACAAAGGACATTACCAAGATACATTCATGCAGCAATAGTGAATTAAGCTAACTGAATTCATGGATAAATTCGATGGCTAATGTGAAACTCACAGTAATATAACTTTTGAATGCAGGTGATCTCCACTGGAAGCGAGTTTCTTTCAACATTAATTCAAATGGGCAGGTAAACAAGCCAAAGAAACAAAAATTTGAAAAAGAAAAAAAAAACACTAAAATCAATGAATGAATTTGATCAGCTTACTTCGAATGATAACAGGTTGTAGCCAAAATGAAAAGCAAGCACATGGCGGGAACATTTACGAAAAAGAAGAAATGTAAGAACATTCTCATACCCATAGAAAATATTTCACATTGACTTCTGCCCCCATCAACCGTGATGCCGCATTGTGATGCATGCAGGTGTAGTCTCTGGAGTCTACAGTGACATCCCAGCCTGGCCGGGAAGAGGGAGGGAAGATGGAAGCAAACCAAGGGCATACTTTGGGATAAAAACAGCTGAAAGGACAATAGAATTTGAATGCAAGAGTAAAGGTGACAAACATATGTGGACTGAGGGGATCCACCATATGTTGAATTTCATGCCAACATAACACAATTCCAAGGAAGGTTAAAATTTGGATTGATGTAAAATTGAATTGTTAGCTTTTTCATAACAATCAATGTGCAGTAACCATCTCAAAATCTTAGCTCTACATATCGTTGGGCAAGGATGGCACTTATAACAGATGTTACAGTCTTGTACAGAGTGCTATATCTACAAGTTTGGTTTGGGTATGTTCTCTCCGGGACTGCTTCAAGATAAATAAAATTGGCAGGTTAGAATAATCTACAGTCAAAATTGTTACAACTCTTCCCATGGACTCAATTTAGAGTCTTTGGTGATGCTTTTAGTCACTCCAATTCCTTCATAAAATCAACATTATCAACAAAGACCTGCAGGATGGCGAGGGGCGAAAATCAAAGTCATTGAATTAAAATTGTAAATCAATAAAGTTATACGTATTGCTTAAAAAATATGATAAATTTCATGCATAAAAATATGCCATATGAACACCAAGGTGCCATCAATTTTAAATTTTTGCACCCTAACTGGTACCAGAACTACCAACTAAGAAAATAGAACAATTACTATAAGGAAATGCAACGAAACCAACTTTCACTTATGGAAGGCCGTAAACAGATCATACCGATTTCCAGCCATCAGGGTCAAGGCAAGCAGTTATCTTTGTGTTGATACCTGGCAAAGGCCCAGGTTCAAGAACAATCTTCCCTCCATAGAGTTTGATTGCTTCTGCACTCTTGTAAAAGTATATAAAAGGATGTAGAGGAAGAAATAGCTTAAAACTTCAGCAAACAAGAGCACAAAAATGGCTTGTGATCAAGACCAATTTTGAGGCAAGGCAAAGTATGAGGTAGGAATAATATAACAGCAAATTATGGGCAAGGATAGGTAGAGATTTAGGCAAGAACAAGGTTATGCAGAGGCAACCAAAATCGATTGCTCTGATACCATGCCAAATATAGTGTAATTGAGAGAGTTGAGAATGTATAATAAGAAGAACAAGATAGGTTTTGCAGAGAATTCAAATCTGCCAATTGAGTTTCTTACTTAGTGAAGGGTTAGATATACAAGTATACAAGGTGATTATTAGTTACAAACAATGCACAAGACATGGAGGGAAACATGGAGAGTTTCCATCCCTAAAACAAGGAATATGAAAACAAGGAAAAGTAACAAGGTGGTAGACAAGCCATTTAGGGATGTCTATGTTTTGTCTTTGACTTTACTAACATAAACATCATCTGTGCCTATTGCGATCTGTTAAAATTAGGGATTCAGTCTTCTCAGTATAAAAGCACACGGAGATTTATATAACTTATATAGTAAAATATGTTGTAAGAAAAATAATATCATATACCTGTGCATAACCATTTCCTTTGTCATAATCTGTGATCCCATAGTTGTACGTCAGTTCAAGCACTGGATTCTTATCTTCAGGACCATAGCTCATCAGGGCATATGTATACTAGTAAACAGACAGAACCAAATATCAGGTAGAGTAGCAAAATCCAGACAATGTTGAGCAATAGTTTTCAATTTAATTACATATATTAAAAGGAAATAGATGGAGGTGGGGGGAGGCTAAAGCACAGAGAGCTTTCACAAAAAGTTATTTCTCGGGTTAGCATGGATAAGAATAAAGTTGTTAGTAAGCAAAAATATGTTAGCCCAGCAGCTAGATTTATTAATGCAATATATAGTGCCAGGATTCTGATTGATGGGGAACACATTTCAACACTCCCCAATAGAAGGTTCAAAATCACATTCCAGCATGCGTCTGTGCTCATGGATTTCTCCCTTTTTGTGCAACAAAATTAAAAAACATGATCAGATAGTAGTTACATAGGCAATGCAAAGCCCACAGAGCACCTGCTTCAACTAGACAAAAGGAAAGTGTATGGGATACCTTCCTGCACAGCTACTGCCTTACGCCCAAATCCAGGAAGAAATAAGAAATGGGCATAACAAGAAAACCCATTACAACATCAACAAGGACCTTCAAAAACAAGCCATATGTATGAACACTACATTATTCAGCAAGATCCTCATATTCATAGAGATATAAACTAGATTATACTCCTACACACCACATAAATGCGAAAATAACAATGGCATGTTTTGGTCACAATTTCTATAATGGTCATGCAGTATTTAAAAAAATTTGTGGTGTATAGAGATTAACATGAGCATCATTATTTCAAACTATCCACAAGTATCGGGGAAGGTATCAGTGGGTGGTAAGTGTGAAGTCAAGTCACCTTGTACTCAGGATAATCTCTCTTGCGAAGAAGTTCCATCCCAAAAGCCTTCAAGTTAAAGAAACACAATGTTAAAAGCTAAATGAAACTTACATCTATAAAAGCCTAAACAGGATCAGATATTATTAAGTTTAATAAAGAAAGTCATTTAAGACATCTCACCTTCTTATAAAAATTAATAGCACGGTCAAGATCGCCTACACGAAGCATCACTTGACATAAGGGCTCAGGTGAAGGCCCTCTCTCCAAAAGCTCAAACGTATAGCCATCAGGATCCTCAACAGAAGCAATTATTGTACTGCCACCTTTAGCAGGGCCAGGTTCCCTGGTAACTTTCCCTCCCTTTGCCTTTATCAGTTCCACTGATTTGCTGACCTACATAAAATCGTATAACCTATGTAAGTCCAAAATTTTTGGCAAATAAAACATTATAGATACGACATAAAAATGTTAGAGATAATAATGCTCCGAAATTGCTGAAGAGGATGGATATTATAGAAAGAAAAAAAACTACATCTATATTAAGAATAGCAACTTACATCTTCAACATCAATACCAAAATGGCCAAAACCAGTCCCAATGTTGTACTTGTCTACTCCATAATCTATAAGAAAAATACGATAGAATTTCACAATCATACGAAAGCAACTGAGCGGTATTAAAAAAAATACTTGTACTAAACAACAAAATACGCTTGAAATCATACAGAGTTACATGTACAAAAATGACTTACTGTATGTAAGTTCAACAACAAAATTGGAATCTTCTGGCCCATATCCGAGAAAAGCATTTGAATATTGCTCCTCTGGTATGTCACGCCTTCTTAACAGCTTCATCCCCAAACATTCGGTATAGAATCTGCACCTCAAAAGAAATAATCAGCTATCTATATATGATGAACAGTGCATTGTTGAAGCAGTATGCCTGTTACTAAATAGACACGTACTTTATAGTCTTGTCCAAGTCCCCAACACGATAGACAACATGAAGCATTCTTCGTTTGTCATTTTTTACCCACTCCAAAGCATTTTCCTTGGTGATAGCGGTGCCTGCTTGTGCCAAATTTGCAACTGGGGCAGCCTCTAGTGTGTTTCTCTCTCCTCTTAGCAACTCAGATGCTTTTGCGCCTAATAGTTGTGACTGAGGTAGAGCTAGAGAACCACCCCGAATCCACAAGCGCAAGGCATATTAAATCCAAATTATGGGTTCTTTTTAATCAAAAATTAAATTAACTAAACGGAGTGCCTACAAATGTTTGCTAAAGTTCTTCATGTGATTAGAAAGTAAACAACAATAAGGAAAATTGATTAATTTTTGTAAGGTGAACCTCATATAGTTATTTATGATGACTTATGTAAAGATCATTCTTTTATGTATAGCAACTTAATTTCAGGTCATGTGTCAAAACTCAAGCCTCCATATAATTTGAATTTTTCATAATTTCTCTATTTACAAAAGCAAAACTGCAAACTTTCAGCCATAGATAACCAAATTCCCATTGTATTACAAGAAAAATTGAAGCAAAAGAAAACAACCAAATTTCAACTCTTATATATCGTACACTATTCAACCCAAACTTAGCATAATGCATATACATTGCACATTTGAGTATAAACTAAAACAACCCAAAAAATCAGTAACTCAAAATAAGAACAAAATGAAACATGGGTTTTTCAAGTTTTGTGTTTCCAATGGGAACAAAGTGCAAAACAATGATGATAAGGGAGGAATTACCAGAGCCGAGGTGAAAGAGAGCGAGCCTTCGAGATGTACAATATGAAGAAGCAGAATTTCTCACATCACAAAACCTCAAGGAGGGCGGTGGTGGAGCAAGAGAAGGTCTTAAGAGATTCAGGGTAGCCGATAAAGATGACATTTTGGTTATCTTTTCTAGTTTCCACCACACTCTGCAACTGCTACGTGTGTCCCTCTGTGTTTCGCTCACTCTGAGCTTTTGCTCTCTCTGTTATCTGCATGTTGATAAATGCGTGCGCGGGTAAATGGGCCTTGCATGTAGTATTTGGGCTTTTCATGACCAATTTGTTTTCACAGGCCTGTCTTGTCGTATAGTGTGAATGAGTTTGGGTTGGACAGAGGTTTATGGCCCAAGCTTCTATTGTCCTATCACATATTTCATTTCATAATGACGGGTACACTGTCTCAACTAACTGGCTTAATTCACATTTTTTTTGCTTACATTATCACGTACATCCTAATTGTTAAATTATTGTACTGCCTCGACCAGCCAACTGGTGTACCTGGAACGTACAAAAATTTCTCTAGCCCTTGTACATATATAACTCTTGCCTCTTGGATTTGAGTTGAGAGTGGCTAATGATTTTCTGGTATGTTCTTATGAATAAATAAAAATTATTTTCTGGTATACATCATCATGGACGTTTGACGTACGGAAATTTGTGAAATATATTAGGCCATAATGAATCACAAATAAAAGTCAATAGTTTTGTTGGGTTACTTTGTTAAGTATTTATTCTTACTGACCCACATTCAAAGTCATCATTATACAACATTAATTCCGAGTTTGGGGGTTAATTAGTGATCATCGTACTCACAAAAAATGAAGATATATCTTTGACTTTCAAGCTCCCATATGTATTGCAGGCCGGTTAGTTAGTGATCCATCAATATCATCGCAAAAGAAAATTCAATAAAAAGTTGTTGCAGGCCTGGATATATATGATATTCGTCATGTTCTTGTGTTGATCCATTTTATGTATAAACATTGAGAGGTAGGCAGATGATGGGCATGGCATCGATGAACCCTAATAATTCATTACATTATTAGGCATGGTTGCCTCCTTTAACTTTGCCATCACTATGTGCTCACTGCATGATTATTGCAAAACTCACACATGTTATGGTACGTGCATTTAAAAGAGTGAAGTTGACAAATGTTTGACATGTTCTCACAAACATCAAAACTTAAAAGAGTGTGAATTTCACATCACGAAATTGAAGTCTCGCTTAACAGTTTTAAATGATTTTGAACTCCTTTATTAATTGTCAATTGGTTTTAAATTGGATGCTCACAGTAATCGCCCTATTCTTGTGTGTAATTATGGATTTACATGTCGATTAAAAAAAAATTAAAAGCGGAGAGGAAGCAAGCATGTAGTGGATCTCAATAATTGTTGGAGGAAGAAGAGTGGATTCATGATGAACAAAGAGACAAAATGTTGAGTTCCATTTGAGTAAACTTTTGGCTTTTGCAACAAAATAATTTAATGAAAAAAGATTGATAAAGACTTTTACTTTAGTATTCAGATTTTTATACCATGAAGAAGACTTTTACTTTAGCATTCAGATTAGCTAAGTCATCATCTTCATCACAACCCAACAAACACAAACATGCTTGCTTATCTAAAATTAATATTGGATTTTCATATAATAAAATCCTCCTTCAAACGTTTACTTTCGATCAATAATTGAAATTTTTACTATTTAAATGTCTATTGGATATAAACTATATTAAAGACAAAGGAAATGCATTATGCATCTGCCCAATTAAAATTAAAAAACAAAAACAAAGACAAAGGAAATGCGTATGGACACAAAAGTTGTACACTCAGAGAAACAACATGCATTAGAATATGACAATTATTCTTTATGAATCAATCAATCGCAAACTTGCTAGCATGCTCAGCTTTTGTGATGATATGATATATAATGCTCTCTTTTATATGATAATTTGTATAAGGTTCGTGTTTTATATATTTTCGAATTCACAGCTTTTAAGTTATTAGAAAATGAATCGACAATGTATTAGTTCGTTAGAAACATACATCATTGTATACCTTCCTTCCGTTTATGTATTACCTAAAAAATTGATTTTGTTTAATAGTTTCCTCTTCGATCTTCATGCCGAACATCAAATCCTGATAATGGACAACGTCTAAAGCACTCAATAATATTATTGGACCCAACTTACTATATATATTGTCATGTGCTCAGTTAATGCCTGCCCAATTCAAATCCACCGTGGCACACAGTCATACATTGACAGACGATAATGGCAAAACAGCAAATACACCCCAAGTCAAGGGGTTTAGCTGTAAAAGGATATCACAATATCATTGCTTATAAATACCAAACATTGTCATTGTGCTGTAGAAACTGCAAAGTTCAGAGACCCTCAACCTCACTCAAGGCAAGGCTTAGACCACTCGATCTTAGGAAACTAGGACAAAATGGCGAAAATAGCCTTGGGAACCACCAGTGAGGCTGCCCTGCCGGAATTATGGAGAGCCCTCGTGGTTGAGTTCATCACCACCTTCCTCTTTGTCTTTGCTGGTGTTGGATCAGCCATGGCTACTGGTAATTCATAATTTTATTTATTTATTTTCTTTCATTACATTTGTACTGTTTGTCATTAATTTATCTGTCGTTTATATATAATTGGTAGTCCCATTTGTGTATATACGGTAACTTTAAAATACGGTGTTGCGTTTGGTTGGTAGATAAGCTAGAAGCAGATGCATTAGTCTCGTTGTTTGCCATAGCTGTGACACATGCACTAGTTGTGGCCGTCATGATATCCGCCGGCCACATTTCCGGCGGTCACCTTAACCCGGCTGTCACCCTCGGCCTCCTCGTTGGCGGTCACATTACAGTCTTCCGATCCCTACTCTATTGGATCGATCAATTGTTAGCAGCCGCCGCAGCTTGTTACCTGCTAGAGTACCTCACTGGTGGATTGGTAAGTCACAAATTATTAATGTGACATTATTTTTCGGAATATCATTTATTTATTTATTTATTTATAAGGTCATGTTATTTGTCACATAATTTAATTGTTAATGTTTTGGCAGACTACACCAATTCATTCGCTTGCAAGTGGGGTGGGATACTTACAAGGTGTGATATGGGAGATTATCCTCACATTCTCCTTGCTCTTCACAGTCTATGCTACAATTGTGGACCCCAAGAAAGGAGCTCTTAACGGTTTGGGCCCCACACTCACTGGGTTTGTGGTGGGGGCCAACATCCTAGCTGGTGGGGCCTTCTCAGGGGCTTCAATGAACCCAGCAAGATCCTTTGGTCCGGCTTTGGTGAGCTGGAACTGGACTGACCACTGGGTTTACTGGGTTGGGCCCCTCATTGGTGGTGGGCTTGCTGGGTTCATCTATGAAAACTTCTTCATTTTCAGACCAACAACTCATCTCCCCATTCCCACTGAGGAAGAGGCTTTTTGATTCTTGTGGTGTTTAATTAAACTCTACTTTGTTAGTTTATTCATTTTGCATGTATTCTATGAAAACTTTCAATAATAATTCTGGGATATTTTTCCTTTAAAAAAAAAAAAAAAAGAGGATTCGAATACAAGACTTCAAGTGCAGGAGCAACTGCTTTAATTTAGCACATTTGCATCGTTGTTTGTTATGCTATTTACTGTATATTGGTCCTAAAAAATATAACAAAATCCAAAAATCCAATAAATAGGATATTGACATTTTTATAGTTCAAGGAACTAAAAAGGTTTGGCTACAAAAATTAAATAAGCTCTCGTGGAGAAATTATTATTTTTCTGATACATCTGCTAGAGAAAATTTTACCTTTGAAGCAGCTTCCTCTCAACCCATGAAGGAGACAACACAGGGCTAGTCTCATAATCCCTAACCTTAGTCCTGGAAAAACTCCTCTTCATATAACTGAACCCCATCTTCTCTTCTGGTGACACCTTGACCCTCCAAACTTTAAAAGTCTGGTCCAAACTTGCACTATAAACCAGAAACCCCTTCACTACTTTGTCCATCTCCAAACAAGCAGCCAAACACCTCACAGGCCCTCTGTGCCCATTCAGCACAGCCAAACACTCATGGAAACAGCTCCCTTCCTCTCTCCTCCAAACCCTAATGGTTGTATCCTCTGACCCACTAAATATCAACCTCTCCACAGCCACTAGGCAGAGCACTGCAAAATTGTGACCCTGTAAAAACCCACCATGGTTAAATCTATAGGTAATTTTCTCCTTCTCCCAGAAATTAATTGTTCCATCTGAAGAACCAGAGTAAAGGAAACAATTGGAGTTGAATGATGAAGTGCTTAGGGCCAATGCATATATAGGGTAGTTTTGGAAATTCAGAGTCATGATGAGAGTGTGAGAGTTTTCACTAAATACCCTTCTCCAAATCTTCACTGACCCATCTGAGGAGCAAGTGAAAACACAGCCATCATCTTGCTTCACCAAAATTGCATTGACATTGTGTTCATGTGCCACAAATGAATCCACACAGTTTTTGGTTAAGACCCTCCAGGCTTTGACTGTTTTGTCATATGAGCCAGTGTATAGCAGGCCTTCTGCATGATAATATGCCAAGCAGGAAACACATTCTTTGTGTTTTTGGGTGTTGGTTTTTGAAAACAAAGAAAATGAGCTCTTTTTGGGGATGGAGGAGACCTTTTTGGACCTGAAATTGTCTGGGACTTTGAAGTTCCATATTCTGATTTTGTGATCCTTGTGTGTGGTGAAAAGAATGTCCTCATAAGCCAAAGTGCTTCTTACTTCACCTGAAGTTGCCTTAATGCAACCGTATTCTATGTAGTCCGGCTGCCTCCATACGCGAATTCGGGTGCTCTTGGAGCCGGTGAAGACTAGCCCCCGCTGCCTTGAAAGGGCAATGGAGTAGATGGTGCCTTCACGGCGATGCAGCGAGGCAATGCAGTGGTAAAGAAGTGAAGGGGATGGGGTTTGGAGAGGGGAGAGGGTCCATGGGGACTCTGGGCTTGGGGGTGGCAATGGCATTGTGGTGTGGGGGCTGGAAGGCATTGAAGGGCTGCTGCTATCTTCTTGGTCACAGATGATAGCTTCTTCTTGTTGATCAATATTGTTACTTCCCTCCATTGCATTATCTCTCTCTACATATATGAAGCTAACGAGGGATTTCTTGGGATATTTCAAGTCCAATTCCATGGCTTGAAGGTGTTTAGAAGGAGGTTGTGGGGCTAGCTAGAGATATATAAAGATCAGAAGGGTGATATATGTATTTATGAAGAACATCTTGAAGTAGCTTGGATACATAAATTTCCTATACATATAGCATGCATTTCAATTCAATATGTTAGGTGGGTTCCATACGTTGGAAGTTTTTTTAGACCTTTCCTCTTCCAACCCCTCCTTCCTTTAGCCAATGAACATTAATTTGGGTTAGAAGACTTGAGACACAAATATTTAGAGCACCCATACCAACCCATCAAAGTTGCTGGTTCGTTTTGATATATTAATCTCCATACATATAATTTGGTGTAGGGGGAATTATATTGCAGCAATAAACAGATGGAGACATTAATTGAGAGGATGAGGGGGTAGAGTTGTGATTAATGTGGTGTATTTAATCTCCATCCACAAGTAATAAATCCCCAAACATTGCCATAGAGAAAAGGCTAGCATGTCAATCAAATACAGCAATGGTATATAGGAAGACAATTAATCTTTTCATTTATTTTTTATTTATAATATTCATTAATACGATACAAATCAGCTTAACTTGGATCAATGTCACGTATGGAGTAAAATCCCGAACCCAATACGTGACAATCAAACATTCGAAGCTAGTCTAATTTCCAGCTTAAATTGCACATATGGGAAATCTGGGAAGACAAAGCAGCATTTATAATGCATAATGCTAAGATTGACATGGCATTGACACAAAAGTTGCATGAAAACCATATGGCACCCGCTGTGGCAATGTGAGTTTCGCAATCGGTTCACTTTCAAACTTCTTTGCATCAATTACATGAACCTGGCAGCAAGATATGTAATTAAAGTCATTTATAATCTGATCAGCAACACTAAATAATTCTAAATAATATATCAATTGAACATAAAATTAATGTTTCTTTTTGTGAATCCAATAAATTTTAGAACTGCTTCTAAAACGGCTAAAAGTGTTTCTTGACTATAAAAGCAATTTCTGAATAAGACGCTTTTTTAGGAATCACTTATAAGTTATTTTTTAAAAAGTATATACTTTAATTTTTAAATTTTTTTATATAAAATGTTGACATGCTTCTAGAAAAAGTGCTTATGAACGTAAGTGCTTCTTACAAAAGCACTCGGAAACTTATCATCGCAACTCACTTGGGTGACATCAGTTTCTTCATTGTGGACAAAAGTGACAATCCAACCATCATCTTCCTCCATGCCTTTGCCTCCATGCCTAGCCACAAAAACGCTTCCACTGCAAAAGTTGTTCTCCTCAAACTTATGGTATTCAACTTTTATCAAATCTTCACACTTTCCCTCCTGCTATAGTAGTACACACACATAAACATGAAACCCAAAAATTTAGTACTAGGTTTTATTTTTTTTATTTTTTTATGGTCATTAAATTTATTGGTTTGATGTAAAATTAATATTAATCCTTACCACAAATGACGTAGAATTCGATTCCTCCAAATATAATTTGGCTAGAGATCCATATTTTCCCATGCCTAGGACAAACAAAATCTCAAATAATTCAACAAAATAATTCCTAACATAGCACATTATTTTAATTGAGATGAATTTAATCAAAGTTTCCCCTTTTTTTTTCTTTACCACAGTCAGAGCTTGCCATAGAATCAATGACCTGTGTATAGCCATACTTGTGCTTCAAGCCAGTTACTTGTTCATTGATGAAAGGAAAATCCATGGAGAAATCAGTTGCAGTTAAATTTCTCTCCTTCACATCTCCAGAGACCATGTTCAATCTCCATTCATATAAACGAGAAAACAAATATCCAGTCTCTGCAGAATGATCATCTGCAAAGTTGAACCCTTTTGAGTACCACTCATATTTGTTAAGTCCACCATCAGGACCTGGCAAGAGGGATGTGAGAGCCCTGCATCCCCTCACTACAACCTGTTCTCGTTTGTCACATATTAATTATGATTTTAATAAAATATTATTAGAAAGAAAAACTTATTATTAATAATTAATCTATCATCAAATGAAGTCACAATTATTAATTACCTCATTAGCCTCCTCAAAGCAATTGAGAATGTGAAATGTGCAATTGGTTTGTACCTCAAACCATTTGACTGACTCTGCATCACCATAACGTGGCATCACTCCAATCCTTGCATACTCTTCCTTTTCATACTTCATTAATCTATAATCTATATATTGTACACTTACATGAGAATTAATTCATAAGTAATCCATATATAGATTAGCTGATGCTCAATCCATACCTACATAGCTAAGATTAAGAAATTAAAAATCAAATTAACATAATAAGTTTGCAAATAAACAACGGATTTTTTTTTATATGGGAGTTGTAACTCAAGTAGTTAATAGCAGTAACTAGTTCTATGTACTTGCGGGCCACCCATAGTGACTCTCTTTACATCAACCGTGAGGGGATGATCAATGATTATATTGTACCTGAAGCCAGTAAAACACCAAAAGAGAAGGTTAATTCTGATTAATTACTACAAAATCTCTGGATCAAATATTTATTTTTCCTAATAAGTTCATATTTATTTTTATTGTTTATACTTACTTCTGTGTGACTCCTATATCATGGCTAAGCGTACTTCTTTTGAAATTGAGATCAACCTTATGCAGTAATTTTCCATCAGCTGAGGTAATTATTTGCAACAACATATGGGAAGTTTAATTAACATATAGCCGAGCCGAAATAATAAATAAATGGACAAATATAATAAGCAGTTCTTAATCAAATCAATTAGAGGATTCGTACCAGAGATAACACCCAAAACATAGTAAGGTTTCATTGCATCTACCCCCATTATGACTAGCTCTCCGGAGTTTGGAGCTTTCTGCACAATTATAAGCATAACCAAGAGTGGGAATTGTACGCACAATATAATACAAAAAAGATAGAAGATATACAATAATAATTAAAAAAAGGTTGTATCTCATTTATTGACTATCTTATTGGTCAAGTTTCTAATATAAAGGTGAGTCTCACATGTATATGTGCACTGTGTGGGTTCATTTTTCACGGACCTCATCTCTATTAGAGAAGTGATCAGTAAGTCCAAGTCTGTAAGTTTGTAAGTAAATGTGGTCCGAATAGTAAAAATATTCAAAAGAAAAAAACCTTTGGATGGCTGGTGAAAGGTCGATTCCAAGCTCCATTGACATTCCAATCAGAAATAGTTTCTAATGTCAAGATGTCCACCTCTTGTGGTAAATAATTCTCTGCAATCGAATAGAGCCTTCCTGAATGCTCAAAAACATTGGTGTTGCTCAAGTGTTTATTGATTGTGCCAAACCTCAACTGCAAGAATATAAAAATAAAACAAAATTAACTAATTATGGATATATATGATAATCAGTTAAAGTAAAGCCTAGTTCTTATATAAGTTAACCATATATATATATATATATATATATATATATATATGTGTGTGTGTGTGTGTGTGTGTGACTAGCTAGCTACCCCATTTAGAATATATGCTGCTATAACTGCTGCTGCATCTCCTTCTAGGGCTGGTAAGAAACATGGCTTGTTGTGCTTCTGTTTCTCTAGCTTAAATGTTTCAGTCTGAACATATCTGCTGTTGTAGGAGATAATCCAACTTCCATAATGATCCTTTTTGAAGTAGAGTGCATGAAGCATGCCTTCTCCCTCTACCCAAGTGTGCTGTGTTTGTCCGAAAATCGATACTGCTGATTTTAAACCTCCGAATAAAGGATTTATGCCTAGATTAGAATTATAAATTACTCATTAGAAAGCAATTAAACTAGCTAAAATCAGTTAATATATAATATTACATATGTAACATAGAACAATGAGAGGTCGCATACCATTTCTTACAAAAACACCTTCAGCAAAATCAGCGGGAATTTCTTCTTCGGTCCAGATAACCTCAACAAGGTCTCCAATCTCTTCCACTGGTGCAAAGTTTTTCTGTAACCACGTGCACATGATAAAGCTTAATTATATATATTCTTGTACAAACTGCGAATATGAGCCATCAATTAGGCTAGTTCTTACTTAAAAACACACACGGGTACTATGGGGACTTGAAACCAAGATCATTGGGAGCACACCAATGACTTGGGCCAATCCAACTAACACCCCATTGGTAAGATCCCATTATAATTAAGGAAATAAGATCATATTCTTGATAAGATCCTATTGGTAAAATGATTATTAAATTAGCAAGAGCAAGCAAATAAATTAGGGTTTAATATATAGTAGTACATTATTGTTGGAGTACCACGGAAACAACCTGAGATGGGAGCAACGGTTGATCTACAAACTGGAAAATAGAGTCCACAAGTGCATCTAACATCTTCCCAGAAGTGTTTTTCATGGTTTTAGAATCATCGACCTTCCTTGGAAGCAATTGCTGCAACTCTTTGAATAGAGGCTACAGTGTTCCAAGCATGTGTGTAAATCAAAGTTCAAACCAAATAAAGCAATATGTTGTGGAAATGAAATTCAAAATAATCATATATATATATATATATATGTATGTACCTTAACAGACGAGGAAAGTGAGGTTTTGAGGTGATTTAAGCGGTGGGAGATGAAAGGGTTTTGGAAAGACCCATGTACGTGAAAATTAGCATAAGAAGAGAATGCCATTTTTTTTCTTTGCTATGATCTCGTAATGCAGAACCTGAGGCCATATAAATAAACAGGCAAGTGCATGTGGTAGCTAAAGTGGCTCTTTCGTTCTAAGTAGTCTTTTTTCGTCACGTGAAACACAATTGAAATAACTTATTAAAAGTACAAAATATATATATATATATATATAAATATGTGTCAACCTGTAATTTGTCTCAATGGAGGAATCACTCTCACTCTTACAAAGAAAAACTTAGGCATTTTCCTTTAATAATATATATGACGTATGATTGATGGCATCACAGTCTTCAAACATTTGAGGATCAGTCAACGGACATCAGCCTCTCTATATATGAGATTATTTTAAGTCCAATTTGCGTGTGTGACGCCCGAGGCCTGAGCAGTGAGGACATAAACCAAGCCAACTCTTAAGAAGGGCATCAAGCAGTTGCAATATTCCTTCTTGCATAATTTGATTGGATGCTATGGCACCTCCCTCACAAAAGTTCAAAAAAAAAATAAGTAAACCTCCCTCAGAAAAAAAGAAATAAAATTAATGCCACATGAATGTTTTAAGCATTCTTATATATATATATCCAGCCAAAGGTATCAAATCATGTTTCCTAGGAATCTTATGCGGCAAATGGGTTTGTCTTCTAATTGCATATATACGACTACGCCTATGATGAATATGAATGGATTCCTTGACTGAGACCGTAGTTTTTATTTATTTATGTACAATCAATATTGAGAGATGGTGAAATCAAACCTAAAACCCTTGAGTACATATGTAAAATCATTTCAATTACAAGTCCCTTGCGACTGAGACCATAGTTTAGTAATTATTTTCTTCATAGAAAATAAAATTTTAAGATATCTTTAAAAGAAAAAGAAAAAGAAAAAAAATCAGCCAACACATATATCCAACATACTATACCCATGTCACTAGGCGGTAGTAAGGGTGGTTGCGGTTCGGTTACCGCAACTTTTCAATGAAATCGTGAACCAACTGACATTTTACTGTATAGTAAAAAGACGAACCATGAACTGACCGAAATATTGCGGTATACCGCAATTGTCGGTATATTGCGGTCGGTATACCACCATTGTCGGTATAGAGAACAACACAACATTAGAGAATTTTCCATGAACAAAAAAAGAGTCTGCTGTCATACTTAAAAATACTGTTGAAATAAGCAGAACTTTTTATCATTGGCAATGATTCTTTAACTCATATATGGAGATAAAGAACTTTATTATTAAAAATAAACCAATACAATCCACAATCCTGCTAATACACAATTAATCAACTAAATAGTTGATTGCAAGCTAGAGATTATCTCGGCTAACCCACTAATAACAATCTAACAAAATTACCAACACAACCGATGAGTTTGCAATACTAATCGAAACTCTGGTTCCTACTAGATAAAGTTTAATTATTTACTAATTAAGTTATATTAATTCACTAAATATTCAAATGATATTTCTTCAGGGCTGAGATTAAAAAAAAACAATATAGGGAACTTCAAGAGATTGGCGGAGAATACACTTCATTAGTAATATATTCAAAGCCTAGGTGAGTCCCACAGAGAGAAAAAAGATGAGAAAGAGAGAGAGGAAGAATAAAAAGAAGAAGAAAAGAAGAGATAAGAGATAATAGAGAAAGATTCATCTAAATGATGAAGTCCTAGCCTCTTCTTTATTTTTAGAAGTGGTTCTAAATTTGATTCCCTGCCTCTACTCATGTTAATAAACTTCATCGTGATAAGGCTCAATGTGTAGACAGAATTTATAAGAATATAAAGGCCTCATAAAAAATAAAAAAATAAAAAAAATGAATTAATTCGGGTTGAAAAACTTTTGTAGGAGAACCGAGACAGAAATATTTAGAGCTAGCACCAATATCAATAATTAAAATTGCTGGTTCGTTTTGATATTGCTCTATACATAGTTGGTGCAGATGAGAAAGTAGAGTTCTAATTAATGTGGTAATCTCCATCTACAACTAATAAATCCCTCACAAATCATAGATAGTCAATCAATATATACCGCAACCTGAAAAAAAAAAATTCAAATCAAGTCAATGGGGTCTAGTCCAATGAAAAATGACATTGATTTGCGTACCAGTGATCTTAGGTTCGAACTTCCATAACACTTTGACAGTGTGTGCGAGAAAACCTCCCTCCTTAAATATTGCTTGTATAATAAAAAATCAAATCAAATATACCGCAATGGTATATGGGAAACAAAATATTTAACCTTTTTCATTTATTTATTTCTTAACATCCATTAATACGATACCAAAGCAGCCAAACAGTTGAGGCTAAACTTTTGTGGCTTAAATTGCACCTCATGAGAATCTAGGAAGATAATCACCATAATGTAAATTGCTAAGATTGACAAGGCATTGGAACAAAAGTTGCATGAAAACCATATGGCACTCGCTGTGGCAATGTCAGCTTTGCAATGGCCTCACCCTCGAACTTCCTTGCATCAATCACATGAACCTGAAAGCAACATAATTAAAGGTTTGATTATATAGTCAGCAAAATATAAGGAAATTATTGCTAAGGTGACATTTACGTATCACACTGTGTATCAACCACGGGTGAGATTTATTGTATGGGTGAATTCCACTTCTATTGGAGTTGGAAACAAGATACAAAATTAATGTTTGTCCCTTTTTTGGAGCCAATAAGCAGGTTTTGAGAGAATGGAGTAGCTGAGATTGTGACAAGAAGAACTCACTTGGGTGACATCCGTTTCTTCATTGTGGACAAAAGAGATAACCCAGCCATCATCTTCCTCCGTGCCTTCATGTCTAGGCACAAAAACGCTTCCACTGCAAAAGTTGTTGTCCTCAAACTTATGGTATTCTATCTTTATCAACTCCTCACACTTGCCCACCTGAGATCATAATCAGTCTAAATGCGAATTTTATGATGATTAAAATGGTAAAGTTCAAGGATTTTATTTCAAAGAAATATTATATATAATTGATTACCAGAGACGGCGTAGAGTTTGATTCCTCCAAATATAATTTGGCTAGAGATCCATATTTACCCATGGCTAATACAAAGAAAATATCAAGTTAATAATGAATTAAATGAGAGTGAAAGTATATATAGAGTAATATGTTCTTTCAAGTTAACTAATGAACTACATTGTTAGGAATCTAACGGTGGTGGGTAGGTTGATTAGTTTTGTATACTTCGGAAAAAAAAAAAGTTTAGGGGATAAATTGGCGCCATGTCGATATAGTTCACGGGGAAAAATGACAGATTATCCTTTTCTTGATTACCTGAGTTAGAGCTTGCAATAGAATCAATGACTTGGGTGTAGCCATATTTGTGTTTCAAACCAGTTACTTGTTCATTGATGAAAGGGAAATCCATGGAGAATTCAGTTCCAGTTAAATTCCTCTCCTTAACTTGCCCAGTTACCATGTTCAGTCTCCACTCATACAAACGAGAAAGCAGATATCCAACCTCTGCAGCCAAATCTTTGCTAGCAGGAGCTTCAAAGTTGAACCCTTTTGAGTACCACTCATACTTGTTTAAACCACCATCAGGGCCTGGTATGAAAGATGATAGAGCCCTACATCCCCTCACTACAACCTGTTCCTCATTTGTCACAAAATGGTGAAAATATTATTTAAAAATTTAAAGATGAATCAAAGAAATAAATATTACTTAATCAACATTAATTTTAATTAATCCTCGTTTGTTGCTTCTAAATTACCTCATTACCCTCCTCAAAACAGTTGAGAATGTGAAATGTGCAATTGGTTTGTACCTCAAACCATTTGACTGACTCTGCATCACCGTAGCGTGGCATCACCCCAATCCTCGCATACCCTTCCTTTTCATACTTCATTAATCTATATATGCACACGAACATATTAATTTAATTAATTTCTTCATAGCTTAGGATTTTTTCTTATAAGCAAAAACTAATAAGATTTAATTTAAATGCCGCTTAAGAACTATATATATATATATATATTCTCTCATCCGGATGTCCGCACATTATTATCGTGTGGATAACAGGGAGAAAAGCACAGAGGGGTAGTAGAAAATACATGACACAATAATAACATCCGAATGTCCGCATAAGAGAATTTTTGTACATATATTACATGTACTTACTGGCCACCCATGACGAGTCTTTTCAAATCCATTGTGAGGGGATGATCAATGATTACATTGTACCTGATGCCACCAAAACACCCCATTAAAGAAATGTTCAATTCTTACTATAAGTACATGATTTTTGTTTAATTTTCAGGATACTTAGATGATACCATCTTCCTAATTTTCTCTTTTATATACTCTTACTTCTGTGTGACTCCAATATCATGGCTAAGCACACTTCTTTTGAATTTGAGATCAACCTTATGCAGGTTCTTTCCATCAGCTGAAATAGTGACCAGCAATATTAGTATTTATCAGGAAGAAAAAAATATATGACTTAATAACACATTTAAAATAATTAAAAAAATCAAACCAGTGTACCAGAGATAACCCCCAGAACATAGTAAGGTTTCTTTGCATCTGTCCCCATTATGACTAGTTCTCCAGAGTTTGGAGCTTTCTGCATAATGCACGCATGGTTAATTACTGAAAGCAGAACCAAAAGTAGCAATTGTACACAAACTTGTAATTAAAGCAGCATAACTTAATGCTTATGTTTTCAAACTGTCAATCTATACCGTTTGATTAAGTTGATTATTGATCGAATGTATGGTCCCTTGGGAAGTATACGTTCCCATTCCCAGACAAACTAATAAGACAACATTGCCCTACATACACATGGGCGTGCGAGCGCACACACACATATATGATAAGAAAGAGACTGCAAAAGAAACCTTGGGATGGCTGGTGAAAGGTCGATCCCAACCTCCATTGACATCCCAATCAGAAAGAGTTTCTAAGGTTGAGATGTCCAACTCTTGAGGCAGATAATTCTCTGTAATCGAGTAAACCCTCCCTGAATGCATAAAGACATTGGTGTTGCTTAAGTATTTATTGACATCGCCAAATCTCAACTGCAAGAATAGAAGAACCAAACGTATTATGGGTCTGCACAAATAGATAGATAGATAGATAAATACGCGGAATTAGATCAGGCTACCCCATTCAGAATATATGCTGCTATAACTGCTGCTGCATCTCCTTCTAGGGCTGGTAAGAAACATGGCTTGTTGTGCTTCTGTTTCTCTAGCTTAAATGTTTCAGTCTCAACATATCTGTTGTTGTAGGAGATAATCCAACTTCCATCACCATCTTTTTTTAAGTAGAGTGCATGAAGCATGCCTTCTCCCTCTACCCAAGTGTGGCTTGATTGTCCAAAAATCGACACTGCTGATTTCAGACCTCCAAATAATGGATTGTTACCTGCAAGATATATAAGACATTATCAACTAAGCCAGTGTTGATCTTAACATACATAAATTATAATGAAAAATTAATAATATTGGGACTAGGAAGTCACAAATATATTATATATGTTGAAATATAAGTGCAATAGCTGAAATGTTCATTTAGTTTATTTCAGATTGTATTTTCTGTTTGCTTAAATGTGAGCCATTGGATTATAGTCCAATGAACAGCTAAGATGTAAACTTAGAGAAAGTGTTAGTTTGTGCCATGTGTCTCTATCTCATAGGGTAGAAGAATGGATGGTTAGATTGAGCTGATGTAAGAGAGGAACCTTCTTATTCCTAACAGTTTTATATTCAAGCATGTTGTGTGCGTGAAAATATAGATGAGATTACAGACTCATTTCTTGTGTTTTTCGTTCTCCTCCAAGTTCTCTGAGTTTTCATTTTTCTTAGATTCAGAGCTCCATTTACCAATAATCCAAAACCTAATCAGATTATAGTCTGAGAATTCTAACAATATATACCGTTTCTTATGAAAACACCCTCAGCAAAATCTGGGGGAATTTCTCCTTCAGTGCAGTTGATCTCAACAAGGCTGCCAATCTCTTCAACTGGAGCAAAGTTTTTCTGTAAGCACGTGATATAATTAATTAAGCTTATACATATATAACAAAAGATTTTAACTAGAACAAATTAAAGTATGCATAGGTACCTGAGAAGGGAGCAATGGTTGATCCACAAATTTGAACATGGAGTTGATAAGTGCATCTAACATTTTCCCAGAAGTGTTTTTCATGGTTTCAGAGACATTATTCACCTTCTTGATTTGAAGTTGCTGCAACTCTTTGAATAGAGGCTATAAATATTTATAGCGATCATCAAAACATGTCAAATCAAGTTCTGAAAAGGTGTTTACAAGTAACACAACATCCCACAGAATCATGCATTAGAATGAGCAAATTAATGCCCAAAAAAAAAAAAAAATCATATGCCACTGTGTGAAAAACTTGGATAGATTTAAATACCTTAACAGTTGAGGAAAGTGAGGTTTTCAGGTGATTAAAACTCTGAGAGATGAAATGGGTTTGAAAAGATCCATTTACTTGTAAAGCATAAGTAGAGACTGCCATTGCTGTTGTAATTTTGAATGCGCATGAGTGTATTTATATATGTACACGTGTAGTTACATATATTATAATTAATTCCATGACCAATTATGCTATAACGATGTCAAAATGATGCCTTTTGGTAATGGACACATCGCTATTTCTTAATCCTTGTATGTTAATGCCTGTCTTGAAACAAAAAATCGAATTAAGACAGACAAGTTTTAGTTGTGAATGCATTAGGCTTTGTGAGATTATTATAAGGGCAATTTGTGACAGCCGAGGCAAAAGGACATATAGACCAACTTGGTTGCCTAAGAGGATAACATGCGATTTCAATGTTTTGATTGGATATCAGTTTCAAACCCACATGCGTACATATATTTACATTTTGAGGTTTCAATTCTGTTATTCGAGAAAAGGGTATCAAAACAAGTTGGTACGGGTCAATTTAGAATACAAAAAGTTTTTCATTTTCGTCTGTATGTGGGGTGGGTTTGGAGATGAGAGACATTAACCCTACCACATTGAGTGGAAGGATGCTACTTCTATTAGTGGACCCTACTTTTATTAGAGATGTATGACATGTTTGAGACTATTTCTATAAGTACTTCTGCTCATAAACGCTTTTTTTATAAGCACTTTTATTAGATGAATGTCGGAATTTTGGTTAAAAATCCAAGTGCTTTACAAGCACCTAGAAGTGGTTCTTGAAAAAGTACATGTTAGGTGCTTCTCCAGAATGTGCTTTTTTATATGACCCAAAAGCATTTTTAATTGTCAAAAAGTGCTTTTATGCTTTTATCCAGAATCAATCCCAAACAAGCTCGTAGTATAATAATATGATTTGTTAAAAAAATAGGAGAGTATGTAATTGTGATAATTTTTTGTGTATTCTTCTTTTTTTAGGCGACACACACATATATATAGTACATCATGCCTTAGAGTCCAAGTAACCTTGAAAGCCAAGACAATTACTTCTAATTCCATTTACAGAAGAAAATCAGAAATAAAAAAGGAAAAGGATTACAATCAAGCAATACGGGAAACGTGAACTCACTCCAACATGATTTCTCTAGCATTACTTTTTATTTTTTCATACATATATATGCTAAGATTGACTAGGCATTGATACAAACGTTCCATGAAAACCATATGGCACCCGCTGTGGCAATGTGAGTTTCGCAATCGCTTCACTTCCAAACCTACTTGCATCAATAACATGAACCTGGCAGCAATAAAGTAATGAAAGTGTTTATAATTAATTAAGGTTAGCAAAACAAAATTAATGTAATTTTTTCTTTTCCTTTTTATTCAATCCAATAAATTCTGGAGAGAATGGCATCAGAACTCACTTGGGTCACATCAGTTTCTTCATTGTGGACAAGAGTGACAATCCAACCATCATCTTCCTCCATGCCTTTACCTCCATGCCTAGCCACAAAAACGCTTCCATTACAGAAGTTGTTCTCTTCAAACTTGTGATATTCAACCTTTATCAACTCCTCACACTTTCCCTCCTGATAATATTATCAATTCACTCATAATATAAATATGCAACACCAAAAAGCTATAGGGCCTTTCAACCAAAAAAGAAAAGGAAAATATACTACTGTTGGGTTGGTTTTCATCAAGAAAAACTTCAAGAAGAAACAAAGATTGAACGAAACATGAACTCATTACCGCAGATGTCATAGCATACGATTCCTCCAAATATAATTTGGCTAGAGATCCAAATTTTGCCATGCCTAATACAAAGAAGATATCAAGTAATGTTGACAACAGGGTACATTATCTTAATTGATCAGAATCAGAGTTTAAATTTTCTTTACCACATGTAGAGCTTGCCATGGAGTCGACGACTTGGGTGTAGCCATACTTATGTTTTAAACCAGTTACTTGGTCATTGATGAAAGGGAATTCCATGGAAAATTCAGTTCCAGTTAAATTTTTCTCCTCAACTTCCCCAGATACCATGTTCAGTCTCCATTCATATACACGAGAAAAGAAATATCCAGGCTCTGCAAAAATATCATCAGCAGAAGAGACGTCTTTGGTATGGTGTGCAAAATTGAAGCCCTTAGAGAACCACTCGAATTTGTTGTTAAAACCAACATCATCATCAGGACCTGGTATGAGGGATGTGAGAGCCCTACATCCCCTCACCACAACCTGTTCTCGTTTGTCATCAGACATTAAATATAAGGATTAATTAGAATAACAATATTAATTAGTAATTATAATTGAATTAAAGGTTGATCTGATGATGCTTTGTTATTACCTCATTGCCCTCCTCAAAGCAATTGAGAATGTGCAATGTGCAATTGGCTTGTACCTCAAACCATTTGACAGACTCTGCATCACCATAACGGGGCATCACTCCGATCCTTGCAAACCCTTCCTTTTCATACTTCATTAATCTAGCCACACATGTACCACGAGCATTAGCTTAAGAGCTATAGCAACTTGACAACAATTAATAAGATTAATTGTTAAAGAACTACGTATATAACGGACTTGTAGCTCAAATAGTTAAGATTTAAAAAAACATTCGCTTATGTCCTCTAATTCTTGCGTATAATATATACTTACTGGCCACCCATGACGAGTCTCTTTATATCAATTGTAAGGGGATGATCAATGATTACATTGTACCTGATGCCACCAAAACATCCCCATTAAAGAAATGATTACATTGTAGATAAAAATTACCCATTTATATACTTACTTCTGTGTGACTCCTATATCATGGCTGTAGACACTTCTTTTGAATTTGAGATCAGCCTTATGCAGTTTTTTTCCATCAGCTGAAATAATAATAATTAATAATAATATTATTATTATCATGATGTTTATAAAATTCTCCAGCATAAATAACACAATGTAGTTATTTTAAATCGAACCGAGTACCAGAGATAACCCCCAGAACATAGTAAGGTTTTTTAGCATCCGTCCCCATTATGACTAGCTCTCCGGAACTTGGAGCTTTCTGCAAAATATCCAAAAGCATGACAAAACCAAAATTTATAATTATTGGAGGCAAAATATTATATAAGAAAAAATAGGAGAAATTAAATAATTACCAACAGAAAATAAAATAAAAAATAAAATAAAAAAACCTTTGGGTGGCCAGTGAAAGGTCGATCCCAAGCACCATTGACATCCCAATCAGAAAGAGTCTCTAAAGTTGAGATGTCCAACTCTTGAGGCAGGTAATTCTCTGTAACAGAGTAGACCCTCCCTGAATGCTCAAAAACATTGGTGTTGCTAACGTATTTATTCACTGCGCCAAATCTCAGCTGCCACATCATACAAGAAACAAAATTATATATATAATTGCTCTATATAGCTGCATATGATATATTTTTTTTTTATACAACCGATAATCTACTCTAAATTAATCTAATTTATGAGAAGGGGGGATTCAAACTTGAGTGCAAGGTCATGGCCAACTTGGCGTAACCCACGACTGTTGATATAATTAAATTATGGTTATAAACCATCGCTAATGCTTTCTTGCCAACTCCAGATTCACAATACAACATAGAAGTATGGCAAGAGGTACATTTTCCTTTAAACCGTGTTCTGGCCAAAATAAATAATTATAATAGATATATATATATGAGTAGTACCCCATTTAGAAGAAGTGCCGCTAAAACTGCTGAAGCATCTCCTTGTAAGACTGGTAAGAAACATGGTTTGTTATGAATGTGTTTCTCTAGCTTAAATGTTTCAGTCTCAACATATCTGTTCTTGTAGGAGATAATCCAACTTCCATGTTGGTCTTTTTTAAAGTATACTGCGTGAAGCATTCCTTCTCCGTCTACCCAACACTGGTGTGATTGTCCAAAAATGGAAACTGCTGATTTCAGACCTCCAAATAATGGATTGTTACCTGCAAGATTATTATTGAAAATAAAAGCCATTATTAACTAAGCCAAACTTAATTAATGTTGATCTTACTCAAAAATAAATACTGGGATGTGTTCCCCACTCTACACCTGGGTTCGAATCCCCCTTCCCATAATTAGAATAGAATATCGCTTCTATCAGAAAATATACATAATAACAAATTAATAATATTGGGACTAGGAAGTCACACATAATATATACCGTTTCTTATGTAAACACCCTCAGCAAAATCAGGGGGGATTTCTCCTTCAGTGCAGTTGATCTCAACAAGGCTGCCAATCTCTTCAACTGGAGCAAAGTTTTTCTGTAAGCAGAGGATGTAATTAAGCTTATACATATATAACAAAAGATTTTAACTAGAACAAATTAAAGTATGCATATCTGGTAGAGCTAAGTTTGAGTAAGACATTGCTGAAACTGGAAAGTACCTGTGAAGGGAGCAATGGTTGATCCACAAATTTGAACATGGAGTTGACAAGTGCATCTAACATTTTCCCCGAAGTGTTTTTCATGGTTTCAGAGACATTATTCACCTTCTTGATTGGAAGTTGCTGCAATTCTCTGAATAGAGGCTATCATCAAAACATGTCAAATCAAGTTGAGAAAAGGTTACAAAGTGGGCAACTAATGACAAACAAATCATAGCTTTTGTGTGAAACAAAAATGGATGAATGAAATACCTTAGCAGCTGAGGAAAGTGAGGTTTTCAGGTGATTAAAACTCTCAGAGATGAAATGGGTCTGAAAAGATCCATTTACTTGTAAAGCACAAGAGGGGACTGCCATTAGTTGTTGCATCTTGCATCAAATGCGCTAACCCTTCATTTGTGTGTATATATATATTGGCTCAATATTATACAATCCATTGTGGGGCATTGTGCTAACCATTTCAAAAGAGAGCACTTGCCGACAACAAGTGCGTTGGATGCACAAATTGAATATTTGAGCGAGCATCATTATGTTTTGGCAGAGAGTTGTCTCCCTTCGTTTTTCTTGTAGTTGAGTGTTTGAGCTTGGGTATACTTTGTGGATTTGGGTTTTCTTTTGTGATAGACACTTTTAATGCTCTATTTAATTATAGTGGATTACTTTGTTGCCTTTAAATTAAATCTA